TCAGGCCGTTTGGGGGGAGATACAACAACAACAAAAAGTATGTCTATTTGTGGCAGCAGCAGAAGCATAACATGTAAGCTGTTATTGTTGTTGTCGTCAGTATCTAGTTTGTTGGAGCAGGTCAATGTGACACAGTTAGTTAAATAACATGAAGGACGGACGGACGTCGAAGACCAGATAGATGGGAGGACGGACAAACTTGTATCCAATAAATAAGCCAATGTGTGTTGTTGTTGTTCCACACCATGAACGAGTAACTCAGCCAGCCTGCGAGCCAGTCAGTCAGTCAGTGAGCAAGTAGAGTGTACTGGTTTTTTTCTGTGTTGATGTTGCCAAGCAGCCACTTAATGCAGCAAAGAGGCAGCAGCAGCAAAAAACCAGGTAAACAGCAATGTCAACTTGAACATTTACAATAAACAACAACATCAGACAACAACAACTACGACAAACCAATTGCCAACAATATCCCCCATAGTAAACACAAACAGGAACCTCTTTCTTACAGTGGCAACAGCTGTGTGGAACCGTTTTACGGTACGAAGGCTCAACAAAAATACGGACGGATGGATGGATGGTTGGCTGGATGAATGATGATGATTATATGGCGATAGATAGCATTAACCGAGGAACAGGAAATTCTCACTCATAACGAACGACAAAGCAAAAAAAATAAAATCAAACAAACAAAACGACACTTCTTGCCTTCAAAAAAACAAAAGCAAAAAAGGCAAACGCTTGGTGAAGGAGTTGAAGATACGATACGAGTATTACAGATATGTGACACCAGTTAGGTATTAACAACAAAAAGAGTCCACAAACTGGTATCGGAGTTGCTTAATTTTTTAGCATAACCTATAAAAGTAATGACAACCGCATACACACATACATACAATGAATGGCTGTCTGTAATGAATGATTGATGTTTCATCTAAGGTGTTTACACACACTTTTGTCTGACAGTGTGTATTTGATGAGGATGATGATTATGATTAAAGAAATTTTATAATTTATTATTAGTTTTTTGCTATTTGTTCGTATTAAAGAACCAACAACAACAATCACACAAAAAGAAGACAAAACAATTATCATTAGCTGTGGTTTTTCATGCCATTTCACAATTATACTTACAAACGAGAGATGACATATGATGTGGTTGTATGGTATGACAGACAGATACAGAAAAGCAGCAACAAAAAACCACAAATCGGATTTAGAAATATTTTTTGTTTTGTTATTTTTGCCATGACAAGCCATAGAAGCAAACAACAGATAGTGTTGAATGAGTTGAAAGAATGTAGAATGGATTTTTAATAAGTGAAAGATTTTTTGTTTAAATATCCAAGATAATGAGGAGAGATGTATTTGAAATACCGGATAATTGATTATGAAGCGTGCATGTCATATGTATGTGACATATATTAAACTAGTTGGTCCTTCGAGTTGCGTGTTATGGGAGGGATATAATTGTTTTGAGGTTGGTTTTTTAATAAATAGGAATTTATCTAAACTTTTTTGTGTAAAATTAATTAGAAATTATTGGTTTTTTATTTCAACCCATAGCAGATTATGTGAGGCCTATAATTTCAAAAAGGACTTTTGTATATGGAAGACATGGAGAAGGCTTTATATATTTAGATTTAGAATAACTTCTTAAGATTTGTAGAAGGCCTTATAAAAATCGTAGACCCAACATATCCTTCTTTATTAATATATGTCCCTCATTCATATAATACTAGGATACCTACATTTAAGCAGTAAACTCAAGAAACTGCAAGAATACAAATTAGACAAGTAGACTTCAGTGAACAACCATGAGAATAGTATCGAAATATGGGGAAGTAATTCTCATTCACTTTGTGTTATCGTATACACAAGTATTTCAGTTTTCGTCGGCAGAGGTTGTCGAGTGATGGAGTTACACCATGTTCGAGCGAAATTAACTTGTGGCAGTGTCTGAGTAGTAGTACCTTGTGTCAAACATAATCGAGGCCTTCGACCTGTGTTTCGTTTGTTTCAGCCACTAATTTGCGACTGCGATTCTTTAGCTTCCTCCGATTCATTCGCTTTTACTATCTTTCAGAAAAAGTTTAATCGAAAAGCCCCACCGATTCCTACAACCCGAACCGATTGTCATAACCCGAGGCTATTACAACCGACTGCTACGATCCCAGCCGTCTCCTACAACCCGAGCCGACTACTATAATCCGCATCGATTAGCACAATCCGAGCCGACTACGACAACCCAAGTCAACACGACCCGACAACCAACACTACCGAAGCCGATTATACAACTGCTGCCGTCTGTCACAAACAGAGCCTACTTGCTACAACTAGAAGCCGTTTACAGCCACCAGTTATACCTCCATCAGTCCAACGGAACGAGTTCCAACGCACCGAAACGATAACTAAAGAATCTACACACAACTACATAGACTTAAATAATCCGAATCTTACTCTCAAATTAAACATAAAAGTATTACAATAAAGAATTGAACTTTACCAATCGTGTTTTAATTTAAGGTTTGTGGGTCTGGGAGTTGAACCTGGCTGCACCTGAGCTTACTTCAGCCTTAGAAAAAACCACTCGTTATAATTTTGAAAACATATGTAAGGCCTTTCATATGAAGAATACCTGTGGAAGGCCTTTTATGTATGGAAGAACTCAATTTATTAAAGAGCAGAAAATGTGCTACCACATTTAGATGAACCGAATAAAGGTAGGACTTTTATATAAAAATGCTGAATACAGTCTTTCATATGAAGGAGGGCAGGGGTAGAGCTTTGTATACATAGTCGGCCTATAGAAGTGATTTTATATATTTAAGGCTTTAAGGAGGCCTACATAAAGCTTTTTATGAATGGAAGTCTTGGAAAATGACTTCTGCATAGAGAAGGAGAGGGGTTTTTTCATGTCCCTTCATTGTCCTTTGATAAGGCGAATTACAGTCACTTGGGTTGCAAAATTCGGCTAGGGCCTCTCAAACTTTGAAATTTCACATGGCATCCATATCGACGTCAGCCTTTAAAATATTTTGAAAAAATACTTTAAAATGTTTACCCTTTAAGAAGTCGAATTACAGTCATATAGATCCGGCTAGGCTTTATCAAACCATGGGTCTTTTTTCAAACCATGGACATAGGCTAATGAATGTGTAGACGACGAAATGCTCTCACCAGTTCTCTCTGAATTGAGTCTGCTGAATGCGCTACTCAATTTTAAATCGTGGTTTATTTAAATATTTGAACCTTTTAATTTGGAATGCCGCTAAATATAGTCAGTTTTAAGTAAAAACTATATCCTCAGATAAAAAAATTAAAGAAAAATAGGCCATTTTACCCAAAAAACGTCTTTTTGCCATGGACCCCTATTTAAAAATTTTTTCCTGGACGTTTTTAAACGTTGAGACTCTGTAATACCAAACTACATCTACATCGACAAGAAAATACGTTTACTGTTAAATATTTCGGGAATAAGAAGTTGTATGTTAAGTTCGGACAGGAACATTTTCTGGTTCCTCGGTTGGTAAATTAGGTTATGAACTTCAAAATTTTTAAATGGTCCCTGAAACAAAGAACGTTGAAACAAAGAACATTTTTTAAAGAATGTTCCTTATTCTTTGATAACCCGAAATGCAGTTATTTAGGTTGTTAATCCGCCTAGTGCCACTAAAATGAAGCGGACCCTTTTTTTGTTACCCATATCAAAACAATGGACTTACATTATTGTATATATGTCTGTTTATATCGGATTATGACAAAACAGGGTTCATATTGAAAATTTAAATCTTTAAAGAACCTTAAGTGGCAAATAATAGCCGCATATTAGGGAAAAGGATTATATTTATATATATATATAGGTATGGGGTCCTTCATATACGGGCCTATATATCAGATTATGAAAACCATGGTTCATATTGAAAATTTAAACCTTTCGATAACCTCAAATTGTAAATTAAAGCCACATGTATTGGAAATGGTGTCAAAGTCCTTCACGATATATATTTAAAAGAATTGGGCTAATATTAAACATTTTTAGCATGAGTTATTTTCCCCTCTGAGAAGCCAAAGTAGTATGAGGTCCTTTGTATAAAACCTAAACCTGTATCAAACATTTTTCTATTGCCAGGATATCTGTTGCCCTCTGAGAAGCCAAAGTGGTATGGGGTCCTTTATATAGGGGCCTATATATCATATATGACCTATTTTTATTTCAAAGACAGACGGACGGACTTGATTATATCGGCATAACGGGGTCACCGATGAATATTTTGAGATGTTGTTAAATTTCGTAGGAAGTATTCTTTAAAATAAATATTTCTTAAGTTTTTTTTTTGCTAAATCTTTGCCCACGTTAACCCTGACACCATGTGAACCCCCCGTATATATTTCTATTTTAATATTATTTATTAATCCCATAATAAAAATAGAGCAATCGTCAAAATAAACGAAAAAAAACAAGTTTATTAAACTCATATTTTATTATCCATATTCAAATAGAAGCGTGTCTTTGTGTAGGTGGGGGTGTTCACGATCTACCATTATGAATTGGTGGTCGGTCATCCAATATCATATGGACAATGTCCATGGTCACCATAATAGCCAAAGAAAGAGCTGTGAAATCTAATAGCGGAGTATTCGAAAATTTATGGTTTAAATATTCAATTGTCATAAATTAAAGTTAATGGTCGGCGGTCGAATGAGGAAATGGAGCAAAAAAAAAAAAAAAAAAAACAATTTAGAGGAAGACAAAATAAGATAAAAATGAAAACTAAAAATAGAAAAAAATCACCAAAACAAATAATAATAACCTAACTTTTTTATGCTACGGTCGATGGTTGTCTGAAAGATAAATGACCTCGAAAAGAAGTTTTGCGGATTTGTTTTCTTCCTAAATTAAATTTATATATAGAATAAAAAGAAAATACAATAAAACAACAACAATAACATTTATGTAAAGTTCAAATAACTGTAAATAAAAAAGTTAGGCCATTAACACTTACGCAACTAGACCGCCCAAAAATGCAACTGGACCACCGCCAATTAGGCGTATCTTTCGATGACACGAATCAAATAGTGAAGTACGTGCGGCTGGTGGTGTCTGCGTTGTGGGCGACATGGTTGTTGTCGTCGTAGTTGTTATTGTTGTTGTAGATGAATTGCAACTGCTTCGGCTGCTGTTGTTGGTTGGTGTTGAACCAGCTGCTACCAGGGTAGGCGGTGCCACAACAGTATTTGTAAATGAAACAAACGGCAAGATGGTGCTAGGATGTTCTGGTTCTGTTACTTGATTGGCAACACTGTTATCAGCTGTTGTTGTCTTTGTTGGCAACTTGTCGTTTGTCAATTCTTCTGTTGGCTCTCTTTTTGTATCGGTGGTTAATGAACTTAAATAATTGTTGTTGTTGGTGGTGGTGGTGTTGTTGTATAGGTTTTTGGTATTATTGCTGGAACTACTATTACAATTATTATTACTGCTACTACTGTTAAGAATATTGGCAAAATAACCCGTTGTTGTTGTTGTGCGTGTATTGTAGCTTGACTTAGTTGCTGCTGCCGCTCCAGTTGCCGCCGTTGTTTTTTCTATTAATGGCAACGGCGTTCGACAACTCGCAACCACAGCAGAGTTTTCTTTTTCCGATGTTGCTAAACTAGCACCCGTTTTGCTAATTTTATAATAACTGTTATTACTGTCTTTACCACTGCTGCTGCTGTTGTTGTTATTGTTGCTGCCACTGCTGCAATCAACAAAATCGACAAAACGCTTAGATGATTTTCTTAGCTCTGGGGCGTTTTTACTTGTCGCTGTGGCAATTGTTTTGGCCTTCTTCAGGCGCATAAAAGAAAACGGTGATCCCGACAATAGGCCCCTACTCAGGAAATGTTCCTTGAACGTTAACGAGGGCGTCGTGGTGGGCGATAGGATTTTTGCCGTAGTACCAATACTTGCGCAGGAACTGGACGAGGAGGTTGAATCGTCACTTGTACCCGAAGAAATGGAAGTTGAGTTGCACGACGATGATGAAGTGGAGGATTTTTTATTCTTTTTCTGCTTCAAATTTTTAATGTTTTTTGTTGTAGATTGTTTCTTTGTTGCTGTTGCTTGTTGTTGTAATTGATAATCCACCACCACTTGTTGCTGCTGCTTGTTGTTGTCGACAATTTTTGAATATTGCTCATGATACTGGTACTTGGTACCGGTAATCGTTTGGTGATGATGCTTCTGCTGCTGATGATGATGTTGTAGTTTTTGTATGAGCGGTGTGCTGGATTTTGTTGAATTCGTACCGATCTCAACAAAATGCGTAGGTGTCCTCAACATTATCTCAGCGTCATTGGTTGTATTATGCGGGTGTGTGTATGTGGTGTGTGTTTGTCAGTTTGTGTATTTTGATATATTTTTGTTCTTCTTCTTGTGTGCCTAATTTTTCTGCACTTTTTCGTCTTTTTTCTTTTATATTTTTTGTTTTCTTTTAGTTTCTTTGGTAATAATTCACAAAAAATTGGAAAATATTTTCAGATTTTTTTTGTATTTCGTGAATGGGAGAAAATTTTTCTGTAATTTTCCATTAATTTTCTTTGCTGTAAAATTTAAAAATAGTTATAGATGTGTGTTTGTTTGTTGGAAATTTTATTCTATTTACACCATTTTAATATTGTAATACGAAACAAGAGATTCCAGAGACAATAAAATATTTTTCCAAAAATCCTTGGAGGTAAATTTTTTATTTCTTTATAATTTCAGATTTTTTAAGAGGAAGGAATTTATTCGGATATTTGATCCTACCAAAATTTGTCAATATTGGCCCAAATTTTCGATTACACCTCCTTATAACAGTACCAACATTATTCGGTATTTTGGATATGTTTTTCAACCGAATTTATCTTTGGTTTTTGACATTCTGGATTTTCTTCATTGGGCGCCAAAATCTACGCACAAACCAGTGAGCGGAGCAGTATAGTCGGACGGGGCCTAACTTTCTGCGGATGTTTATTCTGACCCTGGGCAATAGTTCGCGATATTTACACACCTCTTCCTATATTACTAATATTCAGTACAGCCCCTCTAATTACTTGTCCAGATTCCCTTCACCGTGGGCTGTGTTGTGATGTTCGGCTTATAATTGTGGCCTATAGATCGACTCTAAATTACACCAAAAATTAACTTTTCGGTCCACTTCATCCCAAAATTATTATCTAATCATCACCGAAAATTATAGGCGTTGTCTTTGACCATACCTGGACCCTCGTGCGTCCGATCAGCGCTATATTTTCGCCTTCCAGTGTGGAAATTGGTTATTAAATAATATCTCAGTACGTAAGCACCTGTAAACATTTAAGTGCAACTCCCACATCCGAGTACATACGACAATATAATTGGTACCAATTCAAAGGCCAATCACTTCTCATGGATATACTATCAACTCTTCGGGTCTGTGTCCTTCAGGAGTAAATTAATACGCTATAGAATACAATTTTTGAAATTTGTCACACAAAAGTCTGCGTCCATTCATCAAAACAGGCATTCTTTGGCTCGATAGCCTTCTCCATGTAAATTTTCGCGATGTTTGGACCATAATTGCAGCGTCTGGAGCGACCAGAAAATCAGACAAAAATAAAGTTTTTGGTCCATTTCATCCTCTAAATATTAACCGATCTTTACCATAAAACAATAGGGGTCTTCATTGGCCAGAACCCATCCTACATTAAAAATTCCGTGAATATTGGTCCATAACTGAGGCCTGTCTCGTGTTTACAATTTATAATGGACAGACGGACGGACGGACACACATGCCTAGATCAACTCAACTAGTCAAGATATGACGATCGGTATACTTAAAGGTGGGTCTAGGACCAATATTTCGCGGCGTTACAAACTCTTGGGGCTGTACAAAGCTCTAATACCATGACAACATAGTTGTGTAGGGTATAAAAAGGTCAATGTCGTTCCAAGTTTTGGTGAAGCCGCCCTAAACTTAAATCATGATATTTTGAGGATATCGGCCATATCTTTTCAGCGTCAACTGTCATTTTCGGTATGTTAATGGATTTAACCTTATTTTCCAAATTGAGTGTCTGCAGCTTAATATTTAGTTTTTTATTTCACGGCAGTAATTTACCATGACATAGTCCGATCAATTGTAGTTATTTTCAATGGCTCATGTTTCTTTTTTATTTTGAACAGAAATCCGTGCCCTTTTTATTTTGAATAGAAATCCATACCCATCTTACGAATATTTGTCTAGAATTTTTTCTGATTTGTTTCCAGATTTAAGACCTACAAAATAATATTTTTGCTACAATTTTATTTTCCGGTTCATGTTTTTTATTTCGCTCATTTTTGCTGGCCTTGTTTCGTATTACAATATTAAAATAGTGTAAATAGCATAAAAGCATTGGCGGCGGATGTAGAGAAGTCATTAATATTTTTTTAACTTTTGTTGGTATTATAATTCCACTTGATATTTACACTCCCATAAATAAATTTACTGTGATGGGTCTCTGGTCTCATTATTTTAATCATTATTAAAATATTTATTTAAAAAAGTTTGGAAGTTGTGTTTGTTTTTTGTAAATAATAAAAATACATCCATTGCTTATTTAGAGGGCCAATACAAACAACAAAGTAGAATTGCTAAGAAGTAGCGGATGATAGATGGATGGACGGATGACTGGAATAAAAAGAATCGCGGTAAAATAAATATATTCACAATGACAAAAGTGCAGACAAGACCTGAGACGACCGACCGACAGTAGTAGTAGAAGAGGTGGAGGAGATATTTTGAAATTGAAACTGAAATTAAAAAAAATACAAATAACCAAGTTGGCGACAATTTAGATTTTTCATCTTAATTTCAGTTTTAGTTTTCGTGGGAACTTTAGATTTATTGTTTATTTTTTTTTCTTTTAGTTTTAGTTTAACCAAAAACAAAACCAAGTAGAGTTCGTTGAACAAGTCTTTGTTGTATGTGTGTGTGTGTTTAAAGTTTTATACAAATATAGAAATAGTAATAATAATATTTAGTTCAAGTTTTTACAATGGTTAAGGTGGCATGGCATGGCTTTGCCGTCTTAGTTTTGGGTTTTATTTAATGGCCATATATTTTTTCCATTTTTTTGTAATTTAATAACCACGACTTTTTTTAGCAAAAAGAATACACCAAATTGTTGTAACAAAAATATTTGTTTGTTGTTGGTAAGATCATCATTATGGAAATACCTTGTGGTTATTCGAGTTATAACCTTGAATATAATTCCATTGTTGAAGAAGAAAAAAGACGAACAACTAAAAATTGTTTAACAAATTCTCATTAAAACCGGTAAGCAGTTTTAAGTAAATAAATAATAAAAAATCATAATAATAATTTATATTTAATTGTTTTGGCATACTATTAGCGTCTAATATAACAAAAATAAAAAACTAAATCTACTTATCGCAATATCCCAAATAATGAATTACAAAAAAGTGTTATTTTATTGTAACTGTAAATCAAATATACACAAAACACTCAATGTGTTGTGTGTATTTATTTTTCTAATGTGAATTTCACATCGAAATCACACCATCACGCAATTGCGTGATATCATGTCATAATTTCCCCCACTACATTTTTTTCGCATGTTCTATGTCCCAATGAACTATTTAGCAATAAATTACACGAATAGTTTCCAAAAGAGGAAAAACACGCCAAATACCCAGTGGAAATTTTCTAGCGTATACAAGATGCCATGTGCGGTTGGTGGCTGCCAGCAGCTCAAGTGACCTCTGTATGTCAAAATGTGAAAACAAACAGCTGATACTTTGACATTATGAAAAAAATAAAATAAAACATAAACAAAATGCTATGTGAAATTAAATTAAATTAGTGGGTAAATATTCTATAAGTATTAAAGGAAGATTCAAATTAAAAAAAAATAGCAATTTCCAAGAAACAAATTAAAAAAATATTATTTGAAATATTCCTTATGAGTTGTAAAGTTTTTTAAGGAATGTTTTTTTTCAAAAAATAACCTATACTCTTTGAGTAGCAAATCTTTCTACCAAAATCAACCAATATTGGCGTACTTGTTAGAATAAAATATATATATACCGGTACCTTCAAAACTTCGGTATTTTAGGACAAGTTTTTGCACCAAATTGGCTATAACTTTATGTCTAGTGGGTAGAAAGTCTCTCTTCCAAAAATTACCAATATTTAATTTTAATTTTAGCTGTACCATTATTTGTCATTTAGGTTACGGCTTTCAATCGAATTGACTCCAATTTGATATTTTTTAGATTCTAGTTGGGCGCCAAATCTTCCTACCAAAACGGTCTAGGTCGGTACAAGTTTTAGTGTAGCCCTCAACTCAAATATCGGTATTTTGAGAATTTCAGACATGTCTTTTCAAGGGTCAGGTGCCATTTTCGATATGTCCATGGTCCTAAACTAATTTTCCAAATTGAATGTCTGTAGCTTAATATTTATTTTTTCCTGGCAGTAATTAGCCATGACATAGCCAGATCGCTTTTTTTATTTTAAAGTATATTATAAGTAAAGTATATTTTCATAATATTTTTTGACCCAATTTCAAAACAGGGAATTTTTAAAGGTTATTTTTTATTGGATTTTTTTGAACATATAATAAATATTACGAATGCGAATTTTGAAGCGTTATTGTCTAATAGCTATAAGGCAGAAGAAGAATGAATTTTTTTCATAAATATATAAAGATTATATATATTTATATATATATTTTTAGATAATTTTCATGTAATATGAATTGATTGATTTTTCTTTTTTGAAAATATTTTTTAAATAAATTTTTCAAGTTGAAATTTTCAAAAAAAAAATTGGAATATTAAATATGAATTTTTAATTTTTGATACTTTTTATTTAATTTATAAAACATGAATAATTATAAAAAAATATTTTTTAAAATAAATTATGAAATATTATACTTTTTATAAAAAAATATATTTGATAAATATTAAATATTGGTCCATTTATAATTTTTTATGGGATATTTTATATTTAATTTATAACAACATATATTTTTTAATGAATATAAGAAAAATATTTTTTTAAATAAATTTTTAATATTATTTAAATATTATATTTTTTAAATATAATTTTACAAATTGGAATTTTTTGAATTTTTTTTATTTGATGACTATAATTTTATAATTTGTTTTATCTGATATTTTTTTAAATATTTTTAAAATTAATTTTACAAAATTAGATTTTCAAAAAAAAAAAAATCGATGAATATTAAATATTGGACTTTTATAATTTTTTTCATCAAATTTTTATAAAAAAAATAATTTTTAATGAATATAAG